CCCCCCCCCCCACCTCTAAGGACTGGCTAGAGCAATTAAAAGCAAGTGAATTGTAGAACCAATAAACTCTATTCCTATGGATTTTTGTCAAGAGCAATTGTCTGTACAGATTTTCTGATGTCTAGAAGCAAGCTGACCGGTTGTTTTTCCCTCCAAAAGCCTCAAGGCACCTTTCCCTTCCACTTGTTGCCTGTATTTTCTTGATGATTCTAGGAATTTATAGTTCTTAGATTACTGTGTCATGATCAGATTTGCATTCAAAAGTTGAACAAGCAGGACAAAGAAGCAGATATATACAGCATAATCACATAAGCCTTTTTTCCATATGGAAAAAACCCCATGAAAATAGTACTAGAAACCCAGTATCCCGTGGATATTTTTAGTAATTTGATTATGTGCACTAAATCATGATTTTGCTAGCAAAAAGCAGTTTTATTCCTATACTTATACTACTGAGACATGATTACTCTGGCAAAAACTGCAGGGGGAACTGACCGTTGTTATCCATAAACACAAAATGTTCAACAAATAGTTAAACGATCAGTGACTGTGTTGGTTTTCCAGAAAATATTATAAAAACTTTATTAACCTTTAAGTGCTATGACCTGAGTATATTACTGTGAACAAACAATCTTCCACTGCATTTTTCCACTTGATGTGGCATAAAAGCGCTACCATTTCTATGTGAAGTAACATATTGCCCTACAAAAAAAACCAAACCAAACAAACAAACAAAAAAAACCAGAACATCTTAACACCTTAAGAAAAAAAGGAGAAGTTTAAAATGCTCTATTTTCCCTACCTGCTTGCCCTTCCTGATTGCCCAAGGGACACCACAATACTTTTCTGACAGGGAACCATTTTAGAAATGACAGGAAACTACTAATGTGCTTAGTAAGTTATATTTTGCATATTTTGTTAGTTTGTTTTTGATACATCTCCTCTGGTGTATTAATAGCCTTTTAATAACTTTCCTGTGTGATCTACGGACCCTTGTATTTTTCTCTCCAAATATCACAACATTGGGCATAAAATATACTCAGAGAGACTTCCTGCCTGACAAGTTTTGAATTTGGTATCATAGAGTTTCACAGCTGAAGGAGGACCTCTGTGTTTCAGGGTCTGTCTTTTCCCCAGCTATTAGTGGATCTAAGAAAAGAGACCATCTTTGCTAGCACTTTTAACCTTGCTTCTCGGCAACACTACTAACAACTTCTCCTTTGCACATCTCCAGTTACATCACAATCACAGGCAGAAAGCAGCTAATAACATCCAAGATCTAAAACGTGTTAGAGCTGGAGACAATGTGGTTTTGGTTTATGTGATGTGGATGTAGAACTACGCTGCAGTACCTCAGGATCAAACCATGAACTTTTACCCTTCTTCAGTGCTTCTGATGCTTTGTGATTGCCTTTCCTCAACATGTGAATGATATATGGAGTTCTTTCTTTCCTCCCCAGAAAACCTGCTCTCAGCATGGTCTTGTAATAATTCAGTAATACTCATTAGAGTGATTTTATACTATACAACTATGTATTTATATGGAGTCATCTAATTCCACTAATACAGTGACATTTATAAACAGTAACATAATCCTGTAAATGTGGGGAAAGAGAGAAGTATAAGCACCATTATTCTTGTATATTTGTTTAAGCTAGTAGACTCTACTGCTTCATCTGAATAAAAGTGGTATCAGCTAAAACAGCATGAGAACAACCTGCAGACAAGCTGTACAGGAGTGGGGCTACGCCTACCCACTAAAGGAGCCACAGCTGCAATGAAGCTTAATGTTGGGTAGGCAGATTGTTGTAAAGTGCAGTTTCAAAAGGTAATGGTATCCCAGTGTCTTCATCTGTATATGTGGGAAGGAATCAATTGTTTGTACAGGCAAAGAACTGGTTGTTCCATTCATATTAGGATATGGTTAGATATCTTCATGCATTTGAATATGAAAATATTTTAATGCCTGTAAGATCTAATTCATTCATGTTGCATTTATTTTCTCCTGCATTTACAGAGGAAACTAATTCCCCTCAAAACTATTCACCTCTCTGTATCTTTTGTACAATAAACATCAGAGTGTGCAAAATGCACAGTATTTTTCTTACTAGCCTTATTTACAATGGTATTAAGGTTAGTAGCTCTGACTTTAAAGAGAGGGTCCTAATTTTAATATTGTTAAGGCTGATTATCAGTTATGGTTGAATATTGATTATGATCATATTGGATAATCATATTGATTATCATGATGAAATACTGATTTGTACAAACAAGTCCAGAGAAGAGTCATTTATAAAATGACAGTACTTTCTTCATACCATGCCTCTATGGTATCCTTCAGACCTCATTTAGAAGGATCATGGTCTGCTGGCACAGAATTAAGCCTCCATGCAAATTCAGCTGACAGCCTGTCTGCTAACCCGGAGACAGTATCTTTGATTGCTTCACCAGTTAAGCAGTTCATGACTTGAACTTAAATAGCTGTAGATGGCTGCTGCAAATAGGTTTATCTGTCCCCGATACTCAGTCTCAGAGCTCACAACACAGAGAATCTCTTGTGAAACTTCCTAGCTGCTGATAGGCACTTAATGTTCAATGGCCAGCGTATATGAATGCATCACTCACTGTTAGTTTCTATGAAATACATGTATGTAGATGCAAAATGCCTCTAAATTGTTAGGCACACGTATAGTTATGGTGTCACTGAGAACATCCTAATTGACAAACATATTTTGCTTTAACATTTGAGGAAAAGTTGTGAACAGTTGTACCTTTACTTAAAATTCACCCACTCAAAAGGCATTGTTGATTTTGCAAGATGTAAATTTGAGACTTTCTGTCATATTCTAGCCATGAAGAAATTTGAAGATTAATTCTATAAGCAGGGATACATTCAATCTCGTGTAGCTATTCTGATATAGCTCCTTCCCCCATTTTCGCATGACTAAAGTTAATAAAATGAAAAATCTCTGTGCAAGAGCAACTCTCCTAGTAAATCCTAGCCTCCAGTAATTCTCATATGGTATTTCCAGCTTCTTCAGTGCAATGTTAGTATTGTAAGAAGACTAGATTTCACTGAATATTCACATTTATCTAACAGAGGTACCCATGCCACAGTCCTCCAGCAGTAGAAGATCTGCTATTTCATATGAGCCATACTGCCAGAGGAAAGGTGGGAAATGAGTGGTTGCTGTTGCCCAGTAACCACTCGTTGACTGACCCTGGCTATCACTGATACACCTGGGATTGCTCAAAGGATCTTTGGGACAACTGTGCTTCTTGTGAAACTTTGAGTGTATTGAGTCTGGGACAGAAGAAAAACTTACATATTTGGTTCCTGTGTTCCCAGCTTCTACATGGGTACTTCTCTTGAGATTTTTTTCCTATGCTAAAACTTTACTGGATTTATTTTAGATAATGAGAAGACTCTCTTCCTATCAAAATGCATTTTGTAAATACACCATTTCCCTAACTGTTCAATGAAATATCTTAAGTATTTGTAAGGATAAGTTGTGTTGCAACACACATACTGCTGTATAGTAGCATTTTTTGAGCACCATGAAGACAGTTCTTCCAGCTGAAAGAACTGAAGTGCAATTAGGAGCTAAAAGTGTCATTGTCTTGCTCCGCAATATGTCTCTGTTCTTCTCCAAGTTATATTTGGCAGTGACCTACTATAAAACCACAAATGCTCCTAGTACTTCAGTGGAACTAACACCTCTATCAAAGCTCTTAGACACACATCCTCACCATTGCAGATGTGCCACTCCAGAGTTATGATTCATATAAACACAGATGTTTTTTCCTCAGCTATGGGGGAGCAAGCTGGACTTTATTCTATACAGGTAGAAATATTTCTTTCAACAAAAGAAGCCAATTAAATGTGGAAATCTCTCCCATATTATTGATACCGTTTTCAAGCTTTCCTTGTCTAACTCAGTTCAAACACAGCTTCTATCAGCATACTGTAGCTTTTTGCTTCCAAGATGCCACCTCCCTGTTCTTTGCTATCCAGTTCCCCTAACTACATAGAACAAGACATAACACAGATATTTATTTGTTTATAACACTTATTAGATGCAAATTGTCAAAAGAAATTTTCCTTGCAATTTTGTCTAAACAAACCACATCTTATTTTACCAATTTCACTACAATCTGCCATTTTAGCTAAACATGCATTCCTATCTGTGACTTGTAAAAGAAACCACTAACCTCTTTCAGAGGACTGAACAGGATCTTAAAACTTGTAACTTGCTGAGTACAGGGCAGAGAATACCTGGATGAGGCATCCTGAGGAAGACAGGTACTGATTTCCTGATGTCTGTGTAGCTCTTCTGCCCTTACACTGCCACACCAATGGAGACGGAGAAAAACCCTCCAACTCTCCTGCCCATGCTAATCTCTCTTTCATCTCTAATCGTAGCTAAGAGATTTATTTCAAGGTACTTATGCCGCCAGGTTTAATCCTGCAAAATAGGCCAGTTAACTGAGTGTAAACTGAGATCTCACTGTCAAAATGGATTTATAGTAACTTCTTTTACCTTTTTACCTCCTGGATGTTTGGGCTAGCAAGCAACGGAGACTGTTCTTTCAGTACCTACTAATGTCTTCTTAGTTCTTAATTTGTTCTTAACAACAATTGTAGGTCCAAGAGAGAGAAGAATGTGAATGATGAAATTTTCTGCTTCTGTGGGAAAGCAATATCTACCTTAGGCAATCATCATTTACGTTCACTATTATGTGCCTTACCTGTCATTCCATATTTTGTTGTGTTGGATGTAATTGTCTGTCCTCTGTGTGTTGACTGTGACTGTGTCCAAGAAAGGAATTCAAGTAACCAAGAGCAGTTGGATCATTCTGTATGACTCACAGTAGATTCTAGTTTGGGAAACTTTCCAGGTTCAAGAACAATCCAGTAGAAAGCTGTGTCCTAGACTCTTAAAAGCTTTATCCCAAGCCATAAGCACAAGCACCCTGTCCTCTGGCATTTCTGAGCCCAGCATGTAGCATTTGTGGAATGGACGTGGCTGGGTTGAACTGGCAACAGTAGGGGTAACAAGCTGAGCCTGCAGAAATGCTTGATCAATTAGTGGTGATACCAGAACCAGAACTGAATCACTAAGCAGGACTAGGTTTGGTCTATAGGGTCCATAATACATCAGCACAGCAGAGTTCAGTGAGCGCACATGACTGACTGCAAGGGACCCCGCACCAGGGATTGTCATGCATATGAATATTCTCAGAAGCATACACTGTCCTCTCCCAGCTAATGATGAGCAATCAATCAATACCACAATATTACTGTGATTCTAACTCTGTATTCTGGGAATATGCCTGCTCACCTCATTTATGGTCTCATGCTTTCATAAAGATAGACACCCCCCTGCATGCATCAGTATTATCACACTTATTATCAGGGAAAGGTGAAAGAGCAGTTATCAGAGCAACTCAGTCTATCAAAGTCTCGAATAAAGCAAAGACTGGAATATCAAACCATGATATCCTAAGAAGAAAAATCAGTTAAAACCTGTTCACTTGCCAGAAGCCATTTAATACACTACTGTGTGGAAGAAGGAGGCTCATAATCACCAGTGTCTCTCTGTGCCTCCACAGGGTGAAAAATCCCAAGGACATGTCCCAAAGGATAACGTTATTATAGGGAAATTCTCGCTCTTTTCAGTTTTTCTGATACAATCAAACTCATAACTAATGTTTATGCTGAAAGCTCCATCCAGCAATGCACCGTCTAGGACCATATGGCAAACTTATACAGAGCAGCTTCCTTGACGTGTGGGGGGTCCCTGGAGCCATACAGGCTCAATGTGCCTTTTGCTGGCAACTTCAGTTCAGAAAAATATAATTTACTGTACCTTCACCTTTTTAAAAAAAAATATCTGAAGCAGGGATTCCAGCCTTCTGTCTTGCCTACATGCTGATGTACAGCACATCCAGGAAACTTCAGATTAAGAGCATATGTGAGAGATCTGGGACCTGTTGGACCTACCGCATGTGGACCACACAAATGGTTGCATATGATCAAATATTCCCCAACTGCATGGAATTAGTCCTGTGCATGTGGATCATTCGTGCTTTTGACTTGCTGTACTGGTGCAGACCACAAGGAACATGTTAGATCTGTTCAAAGGTATACACTGGTGTACAGATCAACTCTACACAGCATATTCAGCAGCTATAACACATTCCTCGTGGACAGCGCAAGTACACAAATGTACACATTTGCCTGGGATTTTTGAGCTATCGTTAGGGCTGGGATGTGATGTATTAAAAATTCTGGACAATGTCTGAAGTCCTTTTCTATGCCCAGAAGAAGTTCACGTGTGAAACCTCCCCGACATCTGTGGAGTTCCAGAAATATATTATCCCTGAGTATTAGAAAATGTTATTGCCTCAGATACCTATTAGTAGAAAAACACACTTTCCGTGTTGTTGCTTTGCAATATAAACCTAGTATTTGCATGCACGAAAGCAAGCAAGCAGAAGATGGCAGTGCTGCTGTATGTAGGGGTTTTTTTCTACAGCACAAAGTAAGAAGCTTTCTTTTATTTGTGTTAGAGAGATTAGAGGTCATGCACACAGCTAGTGGAAGCTCAGGAATGAATCATTATAAGAAATAACTTAAATTCAGTCTTAATGCAATTACAGGTCAACGTCACCTATATCTTTTGTTCCATTTAATATTGGAAAATTATTTCAGCTGCAAAGTTAATATTGAAAGATGAGTTATTCAGAAATAAGTTTTGTTTTACGGCTATCTATGACTAACCATGATGCCCTTTCTTACAGACCAGTGGGGAAGCCTGGACACCAACACCATGATAGAATATCATTTTGTCAACCAGCAGGAGTGGTTGTACATGTATGTGGGTCTGCTCTCTGTCACCCAGTGGTGTAGAAAGAAAACACACACTTTCCTGCTAACAGTGGAGATTGCTGTGCTGTGGCTTCAGATCATTTAATAAATGTTTGGCCAATTACTTATCTGTTTATTACCATTCATATATAAGTCTAAAGCAAGGACAGATGTGTTATGAATTAGCTTAATTAAATAGCGAGTTGGGATGATGCATGCTGCAAAATTGAATTTTTAATCTAGTTTCCAAAAATTAATGTTTTATTTTTATATTTGAATGCCTTTCCATTTAATCTTGTATTTAGTGCAAATTATAACTAAACAGAAGAGATCTTGGAGTAATGGAATAAAAGTGGAGGCGCTCAGTAAGTCTGACACAAGCAGCTACTATACAACCTTTCTTCAACACATCAGTGCTTCAGAGGGAGAGTTCATGTTCAGAAAGAGATTCTCACTGATATGTGTCAATGGGGAGAGAGCATGAAAGAGGGAATTTAGACCATCTGCTTTTTTTTGGCTTTTGTAGTTATGACCCACACAGCAGAGGTGTAAGTTATTAGGCAAATGCAAGCAATTGGGTCTTTACAGAATATTAATCTCTCAATTACATTTTTGAACTTTTAGGAAGTATAGTGGTATCTAGATGATTATGATTGTTCTAGTTAGATGAAAATACCTGAGTTAAATCACAACATCTGAAATTATTATGGAATTGCGAAGATGGCAGAGGGAATGTCAAAACTCAAAGGCAAGAAGTAATGAGGATAGATGGTAATTTAAAATAACCCAGTTTGTATATTAGAATGCCACAAGGCTTATTACAAACTAAATCAATTATATGTTTTTACAACTAGAGCTATACACTGTACTGCAGTTGTACCAGAAGACCTGCTGTACATATTTGCATGTTCCATGCAAAATACAAACACCATAACTGTAGCTCACTTCATTGCCTGAAAAACATCACAGATTAAACTAATCAGAAAAAAAAGAAGTATTACAATCTTCATTTTTCAGATGTTTAAAGGTTATAACCTTTAATGGATACTGGAGCCAGTCTCAGGCAAGAAGGAAATTATGGAAGACTTGCATGAACTGCACTGCACGTGTACTGCTATCCTTCAAGGCTCCTGTGTATTCCGGGAAACACCATGCAAGTAGCCATCAAGCTGGCTCTGATTTCAATGCATAGGAGTTGTACTGCCCATAACCTCTGAGTCATCCACTTCTGACTCATGGTGAGTCATTACAAAGGGAAAACTGAGGCACAGAAATAGTGTATTCACCTTAAAATCAGACCAGCAGCCTATGGTAAAGCTGGAAAATGAACCTGGATTTTAAATTGGTTGGTAACCTAAAACTTCCATCTTGGCTGTAACTTTTTTCTGCAGACTAGAAACCACTTTAATGACCCTATTCATAATAAGACCATGCAGCAATCTTGCTTTTCACTTTCGTACATTATTCACTATGGACCATATAATCACAAGCCAGTCATCAGGAAGCTTTTTGCAGAATGGAATTATACACATATTATGAGGGCTCCCAACAAAATTCCCCTGACATAATGAGGTAGAATTTCTTTTTTCTATTTCATATTACATTGCATCAATACTTTGGTGCACTGTACTGCCAATTAACCCTTCTTCCCCTAGCAAAGTAGTCAGACATACACTCCCACATTTCTCCTATAGACCTCTGGTACTAATCAGGAAGTGTCCCTGTTCTCACCTTTTCATAAACCTGATGTTGACGCTGCTTTTCACTATCTAGTCACCATTTGAACTGAACAATATTCCTCAGGACATCTTGTAGGGAATCTGAGATTCTTTCAGAAAGAAAAGAGACAGTTAAAAAAAAAAAAAAAAAAAAAAAAAGAGAGACTCACAAAGTTTCTGAAACTGTCAAATAGACAACAAACAGCACTTAGGCACAGTGCTCTTAGAAGCTCTTCTGAAAAGACCCAAGATCCATCTGTCCCTTCAGCGGTGACTTCATGCATATTGACACTGTGTCTAGAAATTGTGATCTATGAACACTGAAGGAACTCCATTTTCTTAGTGTAGAGAAGACTGATGGTGAGAAGTGAAAACTCTCTTCAACTAATTTTAAGGTAGTTGTGTAGAGGAAGGGAATAAATTCCTTTGGTGACAGAAGAAATAACGGGTAAAATCTTGTAGTGAGAATAGTGAAACAGCCCATGAGGAAGCTGGATTATATCAAGAGAATACTTTTAGAAGAGGTTGACAAATACTGGCCAGGAATGTTGTAGGGACAGTTGGTCCTTCCTCAGAAAAAAGGGCTGAACTAGATGTCTCAAGGTCTGTGATTCTTCATTCACTATGAACTGGATACCTGTTCAAACATCTACAAAACTTTATAAGTGCTATCCCATCTTTGATCAATACTTCTTTTATTCATTGACTTTTTCCTGAAAAGTGAAGTTATAAAATGTGTTTTCTTTTCTACTCTTCAGTGACACCATTGTTTCCACCTCCATTTATATATTAATTTTTAGTTACAAATTTCAACAAATTATAGGATTTCA